AGTACATCGAGTAGACAGTCAAAAACGTGATAATCGCAAGGTACACGATGGCCATCACGGCCCCACTTTTGTTCGCGGCCAGGGGCAGACCGAGGATGCCGGCCCCGATCGACGACGACGCGAGGTTGAAGGCGCTCGCAAGAATTCCTCCAGGTGGAATCACGACGTTCACGCACGCGCTCAGCTTCGTGAGAAGACCGTTGGGAGCCGGCGACGGGTTCTCAGACAGCGCATTTGCCTCCTCTTTCTTGACGACGCTGCCCTCATGGTAAGTAGAGGGCTGCAACGAGAAAGTGCCGTCGTTGGGATGTGTGCCCCTCGTGCCGGGGGCTGCGGCGGTAGGCGGGTGCATAGCGGTCAGCGTTGTCTCTTCGTTGCCGGTCGTGCGCATGTGATTGCTTCTCTCTCCAGGGGCTTTAGCTTACTACAGTTGCGACGAGAAGAGGTGGAAAGAGAGAGAGATGGAAAGGTGGGGGAGGGTCGTCAGGCAGGCAGGCAGTGGCGTGTCTCTGTGCGAAGGCACATAGAGGAGGCCAGCGGGCCAAACCACCACCGAAGCTCCGTCTGCACTGCAGACTCCACTCGGTGACTCAACTGTGCCGCCTATTGCTTCCGTGTTGCTGTCGTGCTCAGCGGTGTGGGGGGGGGGGGGGGCGTTGCAGGTACTCGGTGGTGCCGTACAGAAACACGGAGTCCTCCTCAGCGTGAGACGTCTGCCGCGACCGATGCGGAGTTGCTTCGTCTGCATCGCTCCCACCAGAAGTCGCGGTGCTGGGGTGTAGTACGGCGGCTGTGACAAAGACAAGTGGTATTCCAGCGAGGGGCCCTGTGGCGGGGCTGTGGTTGTCGTCTACTGCGGGATCCGCAGTTGGAATTGACGTGGCGGCGGCCTGAGGGCCCTCCGAGTAGAACAGTAAGTACAGTAAGCCTTGGCGTATCTCGCCAAGACGACGGAATCTCGGTTGATCTTCCTCCTGTTCCCACCGGCGAATAAGAGCCGCGCGGCGCTGCTCTATCCGTCGCCGGGTGCAGTACTTGCTGTAGCAGCAGCAGATTGTGAGGAGCAGCGTCAGGATGACCACCGTGGACCACACCAGCCCCTCCAATTGGCCTACTAACATCTCTGGGCCATGCATGCAGCCTGGCGGTATGTGCGTGTGTGTGTGACGGGGCACCACGCCGCGGCATCCGCCGAAGACCACGCCCACAGAGAGAGAATAGGAAAATAAGGGGTTCCACGGGCAAACAGAGGGAGCTCAAAAGGGCGTAAAAGTGTGTGGTGGCGGCACCCGTAACGCACGCACACGCACAAACTCACTCAGAGAGAGAGAGAGAGAGACACCCATTGCACCCAAAGTCGTGTAAAGCTCTTGTTTCAGGCGCAGGGGAGGGGCAGCAGAAAAAAACTGTGCATGCGCATGCACACATCGGAGGATCCGCCCCTGAGGCATCATTCGTTCCATTGGCTAGCACACGCATCACTCATCGCAGCATCCTCT